TGCACCATCACTGATAACTCCCTCCACATTCCATGCACACCGGGCTGCTCCCCTACTAAAACTCCCAAGCCACGTGTTACGTATTTCTTCTCTCTGCCATGCTCCCAGCTGTTTTGTGCTGTTTTGATGTGTCTGTTTGCATAGCACTGTCAGACTATATGCATGAAAGGTGTGTTGTCAACATGAATGGCTTTGAAAATGTTTCTGTAAAGAAGCTACCTCAGTTGTCAGCAGGAAGAAGGAACTTGAACTCCCAGAAATGGAGGTCAGGAACTCCTGCTTGAATTTTTGCCAGAGGAAGTCTTATGCACATTGACAATGAAAAGAAGCCTATTAAATCGTGACCATGATCTCTACTGATACAAAAAATATGGAAGTCATTCCTAAAAAAACTAACTAAGAGTAGGCTGTGGTTATATGTAATGAAATCCTACCATAGAATGAAAGTTTTTAAAATAAAAAAATACGCTTAAAAATAGATGATTCCATGCATAACTCAGGTAAAAATAATATTTACCTTATTCTTAGTTGCCAAATGTTAGTCTAGCAAGAGACCCAACTAGAACTGAGTGCACTGAGAGGGCATTTGTCTGTCCCTCTCTCTGCTTTCTATAGGGCTAGGTGGCTCCCACTATCCTTTGCATTCTCCATCAAATTGGCTTGATCTGATGCTCTTAGATAAAGGATAAGTTCAAAATCATACTTTCACTTAACCTGTGAAGAAAACCCAAGGCCCACAGCTCCTCAGCTGGATAACAGTGATATAGGAGATGGGCCCAGAAAAGGAAAGACAGAGCATTTCTGTGCTAGGAAAGAATTTGAAAATTGTTTAGGAAACAATAAAAGTGTGATATTGATTATCTATCCCTTTTCAACCACTTTTTCAAGGGATGAATTTGATGTCTCAGACTAGAGAAACAGTTTAGTTTTTTATTGTTTCTCCAATCTTTCCCTACCAACTTTGCTATGACTGTAGATATTGAAAAGCCAGGCTTTGAGAATGTTTGGCATTTGCTGTTCAAAGTCTGGCTTGGGCCAAGATATGTGGGTAGGATGCACTTTTCTCACATTTTTTTTCTTTAATCCTCCACAAAGATTAGTCCCAACTTTGCATGTACTCCTTATGTTATCCAAGTGTCTTTGCCAATCTTTCACATGCTATCTTTGGCCAGTGTTCCCCTTAAAAGATAACTGAAGAAAATATGCTTTTTGGTTTGTTTAATATCTAAAGAAAAGCCGATACAACAGAGGTTGGCTTTATCAGCTCTTCAAGCATTTTTGGATGACTCAATTTCTCTCTGATCCCCCCTCCTTACTCCCCTGTGAAACTAGAGATTCCCAGTTGTTCCAACACATTGATTTATTTTGGATCATTTCTTAGTTAAATAATCAAAATATTATTTCATGAACATTATTTGATGTGTTGGTAGCAGAGTGGAACTATTATATTGATATTTTCCTCTTAGGAACAAGAAAATGTGTTTTTCTTTTTTAAAAAAATAAATATTCCCCAGGCAAGCAAATAGGACCATGCACCCTTAAGTCCGGCTTTTGTAACTTAAATCATGAGCCCAATCATAAATTTTTCTAAATAAAAATCAATAAAATAAATTTCCAAACCTCTTCCTAGCCTGTCTTGATATTCAAATCCTGAGGTCTGTAGTCTTTCCCACCTGTGTTTTGCTTCTGTATTCTCAAATTCTTTTGCTTTCTAGCCCAAATAGCTGTACAATTCATTTAAATTATATCAGATTCTTTTTACAGCTGAAATAGAATCCCTGAAGTCATTTCTAGACAGCCCCTACTGCCTAATATCTGAAAATGCCCTCATCACACCCTCCCAATTTTTTTTTCTTGTAATACTGAGGCTTGAAGTCAGGGCCTTCACCTTGAGCCACTCCACCAGCCCTAATTTTGTGAAAGGTTTTTTTGAGATAGGGTCTCATGAACTATTTTTCTGGGCTAGCTTCAAACCACAATCCTCCTAATTTCTGCCTCCTGAGTAGCTAGGATTACTGGTGTGAGTCCAGCTCCTCCCCAATTATTTTTAAACTCACTCTTCACAGTGAAAAAAAAAAGGAGAAGAAGAAGAAAATAGTTAACAGAGCTATGGAAATAGAAATGCTAGAACTTACTCTTTCCTTTTTTTTAATCTTTCATAAGAATGGCATTCTAAAACATGAGCTTATGTCAGACATTGAACAGTCTCCACATAGGAATGAATGTTTTGATTAAAAGTTATTTAATATCTCTCTTTCCTAGGAATTCTGCCTAAAGCTGGAGATATTCTCAGCATCAGGTTTCATGCCTTCTTTGACTACACAGAAAAATGGTTCAAAATCTAGAGGGAATAAATGCCATTCTCAAAATAGTTACTTAATTGTATAGGTGTTGATATCACTGAGGATTCTGATATGTTTGCAAATTAGGAAAGAATATTGGGAAAGAGGAATGTGTCAAAGCAGCATCTTTCTATAGCTCTATCTCTATGTCCACTGGTTCTTAGCCTCTACATTGAAAACAGGTTAGGATGCCACATTTGTATTGCAGACATTAAGTCTGCAATTCTGTATAGTCTGTACCTCAAATTTTCTTAACTTGCATTTGCATTTAGATAAACATGGGTTAAACAAAAGACAATTAAGCAAATTGGTAGTTAAAATGTGATCTTATTTTTTTAACTGCTTTCAGTGTAAAATAATGGAGACACCTCCTCATAGCAACTAGATGAGAATACAGAAGGAAAAAGAAAAACATATTCCAAAATACATATAGAATTTTGATTCAATAAGTTATTTTAGCTTCAGAGATAGTATTGCTCTCAGTACAACCTCTTTTTGTTAACTATCATTATTTTGAGGCATAGTATTTACAGAACATTGAATTACTTTTCCAGCTTTCCCATGGCATTTCATGCATTTAGATACTGATGTGACATAGTTAGAAGTTGGGCCCTCAGGACCTGTATTGTGTGGTAGCATTGTGTTGCTATCACCACAAGATTCCATTTTTTCCAACCCCCAAGGTCCTGTCTGTACTTGTTTACAGGTCATCTGGATAGTAACTCCTCTGTGTTCAGCAGTAAGAATGTTATCACGGTAACCTTGGCAACCAAACCAGCTCTGATTTCAAAACCTTGCATGCTGTATCATAAAATTAGATAGCAGAATTGACATTTAGCTACATGTCTGTCATATAAACTAAGCTCTAAGGAAGATTTTCTTTACAGTCATGTGCCTTAATTTGGAAATAGAATGCACCAATTAGAACAATTACATATATACATGGTATTCCACATGTAAGTGGATATATTCCCCTATTCTTTGTCTATGATATCGAATCTTAAATATTGTCATATTATTTTCATGGTGACTTTATTTTATAATCAGGATGAAGCTTATAGCAGTGCTTCATCAGATACCCGATATAAATAGGATTATGAATAATAGAAAACTCAGCCTGTAGAAAATGTAAAATTCAAAGCATTCTTGGCTTTACTGGATACTGTTATTTGTGCTGATTGGAAGTAAGACTGAGCACAGAATATTTCATTAACTAAATCAGAATCTCAAAGACAAGACATGCTTTCCTTTCATTTATAGACTTATGCATATTTTTACACATATTATTCCAACACCCAAGAATCTGATAATATCTTTATATCAAGAAGATTCTAACCATGCAAACTAATACATTCACCTACCTTTGGATCCTAGGTTTTCTTTTATAATTTGGAAATATTTTAAGCTCAGGACTTTCCCTTCTGTTTGCAGTGGTCTGGTGCAATTTTTCTTGGATGTAAATTTAAAGACTCAACTTGTGAATTACATTTAATGTAAGCACCCTGCAGCTTTCTGCATTGCAAATGATTATTTTTAGAAATTTTATGGTTGCCTGCATATATTTGTTTGTCTTCATTGATATGTAGGGGGGAAAGCTCATTAATGATTTAAAAAGAAGATGTTTTGATTCATCGGCTTGATTCTTCTCATTACATAAACAATAAAGGCAATAAATTAACATCTAATAAAATTATAAGAATTTATTTCTGAACTTAGCTGCAAGATTGTTTTAAATCCTTGTGAATAACTACTCCTGTTCTTTATATTCCTCTGCCTTACTGTTCTAAAAGTCATCATTCAGCATATTTTAACCTAGAAAGATACTTTATAATTCCTACTTAACAGCTATCCATCATGCACCATATTTAAACAACTGTTGTGTAAAACAGTTCTTTGACTTCTAGAATGGTAAGTTACGTGAAAACAGAAGACCCTGATGTCCAAGTTGACCATAAAGCAATTTATCTTTACCCTATTTACCTGCTATGTATCATATTTAACATTTGAGAAGTCTGCTTCCAGTATTTCCTCGTCTTATTAGCTCTCTATCCAACTCTTGCCTAGTTATATGTTAAATACTACCTTCAAAGTCAGGATTTTTCTTTTCGGAACCAGATAAGTGGTTATGCTCTGTACATGTGTGCATAAGTGGGAAGAAGGGCAGAAATCCTTCTGTGTATTTGCTGACCATGCACAGCAAACACCCGTTACATACTCAGCGATGTTGAAACTGTTTGCTTTATCTCATTGGGTTGAATCATTGTCACCATTGTGTTTAGACTGGTAAAAGGTAGTTTTTATTGTTTCCTTTTATCTTGGAACTATTTCTTGTGAACAGAAATAGTTCAGCATGTTTTGTGGTTCCAGGACTGAGTTGCGTTTGGGTAATCATCTTTACTGGAAATAATTTTACTGGAAACTTCAGCACATATGCATTCTGCAGTGTGAGACGGAAATGGACCACTAGGCTGTGTTAGTGCTGGAATGCTGAGGCTTATCAGGCTGTTTGCATGAATCAGAGATGTGTTTTAATATCTGGGGTTTTTTTTAATTGTAACACAAGATGGCATTAGAAAAGTGGAAGAGGGAAGAGGGAGCCGTAAGGGTAAGAGAAAAGGTTAACAGGCAATATGAGCTTCTTTTGTGGTTTCCTTTTAGGTCTGATGTTGTGGTCCTCTGTTTTTCAATCGCTAATCCCAATTCCCTAAATCATGTGAAAACCATGTGGTATCAAGAAATCAAGCACTTTTGCCCCCGCACACCTGTTGTCCTAGTTGGCTGCCAGCTTGATCTCCGCTACGCCGATCTGGAGGCTGTTAACCGAGCCAGACGCCCATTAGCAAGGTAAGCCAAGGACTCAGTGCTTTGCCATGCTGCCCAAATTAAGAATTAGAAGTAGCAGGTGTCTCTGTAGCCTGTCATTCTGTTCTCCAGTGGCGCTGGGACCCCATCAATCGGCCATATGCTTTCAGCCATGTTGATCACGAAGGGTGTGCCCTGACCCCTTCTCACACTCGCCATCATCTCTTATGTCAGAATCTGTTTTTGCAAAATGTTTGACCAGTGCTTGAAATGAATTCTCTAACTATGATATGGTGTGTACAGAAGTATTTTCAAATGTCTAAGGTATTAAACAAAATGTTAGTTTGTCCATAATAATATCATTCTTGAAATGATGATTATTATAATAAAGTTAATTAACACTCCCAGGGAATATCAAGTTCATATAGCTGTGCACTTCTAAGTATTCCTCATCCTTCCTCATATTCCTCAGGCCAACATGTGTATTTCATTCTCAAGGTAACATGTCCATTTTTTAAAAATAATTCAATCTATAGTTGCAAGAAAAACCAAAACTTTTAAAATATCTCTAGTCCTTATATGTAAAGCGTCACAATTTAAGAAAATCACTTGAGGACAGATTTGTTTAGCTGTTACACAAAGTACATATCAATTGTGAGGAAAAATAAGTGTTTTTAGAAATCCATGTGCCCTCAAATTCCTTTTGTACAAAATAATTTTGTCTTTTTCATGTTTATATTTTTTCTGAAGAGCATAGTTTTAAAAATATTTTTGATATTAATACCCTACTTGGATGTTTGCCTAATAGGCTTGTCATAAAATTTTCTGCTAGCAACACTTTTTATGCTCTTGTGGAAAAAGAAAATGGTACTTTCTATAGATAATTTCTGATTATCTAGATACATTTTGGCTAAAAAAATTTAAAGTGCTTCATGTTCAGTCTTTACAATCCTTCTATTCTTAAGTACAAGGACTAGGAACTGAGTATTAAGAGCCACATGGTTGTGTGGACAACTGGGAGAGGGTTGCAGAGGGGACAGTCCCTTCTATTAAGCAATTCTGAGAAAATTTTTTGGGTGTTTGAGCTTAAGTCTTAGAGAGCTTAATCAGCAGATTATAGGTCAGTCCTAAGAGAAGAACACACACACTCAGCCAGCAGGAGCAAATCTTGAAATTAAACCTTCTTACCTGCACTTGCCTGCCACCTTTGCCAACACCCTGCAGTTTCTTCTCTTACCAGCCAGGTTTTCAAATCCAAATTCCATCCAGGATCGTCTCGTTTCTCCTAAGACCAGCATCGGTCATGCATATCACCTTAGTGTCACACACTAGGTATTTATTTAAGAAGATCAGTTCCTAAGATTATGTGTCAGAATCAAGCATGTGTTTTTGAGGAGTTGTAACAACAAATCACATCTTGTCCACGTTCTGGAATCTACCTGTTCCTTTACCTGGTTATGTCATAACCCAGCACTATACTGCTTATATTGGTCTTCCTGGACTTCATGAGACTATAAATGAGCACTGTGTGCCAGACTAATGGGTGTGGGACTTTATTCCACGGGCTTTGAGAAATTAGAGGAAATTAACACAGAATTGCTGGCCGAGTTATACTTGTGTTATTTAAGGACTTTTCCTACAGAAATAAGGACTCTGGGCTAAAGTTCAAAGATTCCTAAGACCAGTTAAGAGGCTAATGTAGCAATCCAAACAAAAGATGATGAAGGCCTAACAAAGGGAGTGGAAGAGAAGAGAAAGGGAAAAATATGAGAGGGCATTCATGAATCCAATAGAGGAGACTTAATGAGCTGTTGGATGTGGGTCATTTAGCTAAGAGTAAGAAAGTCTAGACTAATTGCTTAGTAAAGATGTACAAAAATTTGCAAATGTGACTCAAGGCAAATCCTTTAGACTTCCTGTCTCTGTTTTCTTAGAATGTAGAATGACAATACCTCATAGGATTATGAGGTTCAAATAAAAAATGTACATGATGAATTGTAAAACTTTAAGGCAAAATTTGAACATAAGATGAGGACTGATGATGGTACTGATAACGACGATACCATTTCTAGAGCACTTATTGTGGACCAAGTACTATGCTAAGCAAATCACCTCATTTAAACCTTTCACTAATTCATCAAAGTATAGATATTCAGTGTTGTTATACCCATTTTACAGACAGAAAAACCAAGAGGTTAAGTAACCTGCTCAAAATCGAATAGCTAATAAAAGGCTAATACTTCAGTTATTGTTGTGGTTACTACTGAAAACATTTCTGTGATCATAAACTTATATTTGAAAGATTTGAAGTTCATAGTAGTTTTTCAATATCTTTATTAAAAGCCTAAATAGGATTTTACATGCCTTATTCAATTGAGTGATCAGATAGTTCCCGGTTAGTTTTCTCTCTAAAATAAAGCAGATTATAATTTTTTTATAATATTTTATTCCAGGCCCATTAAAAGAGGGGATATTTTGCCCCCAGAAAAAGGCCGAGAGGTTGCAAAGGAGCTTGGCATACCGTACTATGAGACAAGTGTGTTTGACCAGTTTGGAATCAAGGATGTGTTTGACAATGCAATCCGCGCAGCGCTGATTTCCCGCCGGCACCTGCAGTTCTGGAAGTCCCACTTAAAGAAAGTCCAGAAACCTTTGCTACAGGCCCCCTTCCTACCTCCAAAAGCCCCTCCACCTGTCATCAAAATTCCAGAGTGTCCTTGCACAGGGACGAATGAAGCTGCCTGTTTACTGGACAATCCTCTTTGTGCCGATGTCCTGTTCATCCTTCAGGACCAGGAGCACATCTTTGCACATCGAATTTACCTTGCTACCTCTTCTTCCAAATTTTATGATCTTTTTTTAATGGAATGTGAAGAATCCCCAAATTGGAGTGAGGGAGTTTGTGAGGAGATGCAGAGTAGGGAATTCCAGGAGCGGACGCTGAGTCTTGACCCAGATGAGGAAGGGGAGAGAGGCCCCCTAAGGACACCTCAGGCAGATGAGGGGACATCTTCAAGCAAAGACATGTCAGAAAGTCTGGGGCTGGAGGTCGAGGGCGCAGCTCCTGAAATGCAGAGCTTGTCAGGCTGGAGTAAGGGGTTCATTGACATGCACAAGGAAATGCAAGTCAATCCCATTTCCAAGCGGGTGGGCCCCTTGATGGTGGTAAGGATGGACTCATCTGTACAGCCAGGCCCTTTCCGGACCCTGCTCCAGTTTCTTTATACAGGACAACTGGATGAAAAGGAAAAGGATTTGGTGGGGCTGGCTCAGATTGCAGAGGTCCTGGAGATGTTTGATCTGAGGATGATGGTAGAAAATATCATGAACAAGGAAGCCTTCATGAACCAAGAGATTACGAAGGCCTTTCACGTCAGGAAAGCCAACCGGATAAAAGAATGTCTCAGCAAGGGGACATTCTCAGGTGAGCAGGTCCCGTTAGTGGAGCCATGGAGACCTACCTTTGGTGGTCTTTTATCAAACGCAAGGCAAACATGAACAGATGACAGGATAATGATAGTTAACATTTATAAGCACTTATTTTTTTCCATGTACTGTTCCAAGCTATAGGTATTAACCAGTTCTCATCAGACTTAAGAGTTATTCTCTCCATCTTGCAGGTGGAGAAACTGAGGAACAGGAAGGTTAAGTAACTTTCACCTGGGAACACAGGCAATGGTAGAAGGAGGACTTGAATGAACCCAAACTTTGTTGCTACAGAATCTGTTCCCTAAGCTGCCATGGCTACTCTGTGGGGTAGATCATGTGTCCCAGAGCCAACCCCCTAGTCAGCGTGACACCTGAAACTCCCTTTCACGATCCATTCCTTGACAAGTTTTCTTCAGTGTCCTTTCACCAGTGACCTCTAGTCCTCAGGCCACTGAAGTCCTGGAGGCAACTTGGTGTCCCTTACATTCCCACAAGGACTGCCTTGTCCGTTTCCACTCCTCTCCTTTTCTGCACTCATGCTCCTTGCTCCAGCTCCTCTGTAGTTTTTCTGCCCTTCCTTTGTCTTTGATAACCATGCCACATGCCGCTCACTGCACGCTTGCATAACTACTCAAGCATACTGGAAGACGGCTTCCAGTCTGGGTGACTGACTCTTGCTTGTACTGTCTTATACACATGTACTATTTTTGCTCTAAAATTGTTCTTTGGAGTATGGGGGTGGAGTGCATGTGTATTTCATTGTAAAGGAAATTCTTTCTGACTTATATTTATATGGATCTGCTATTTTTGTCTTTATCTTTCATAACCCTACCATGGTAAATTTAGTAAGTGGTTACTGAGTCTCTTCATTAATTTTAAAACCTATGAGAAATACTTCAAGCACTGACCATCATAGTATAGAAATGAAGAGAATGAAAAGAGCATGTTACAAATCTACAGTGGGTTATCAGTAAAGTTGATTAAATTACCTCTCCTTGCTGCAAAGACAAAGCCAAATGTAGGGCAAGAGACTCAATAATCTATGAAATATGATTTAAAGACAGAGAATTTTGAAGATGAGCTAAATCATGGATGACATCAAGGAATTTTCAGTTTTCTTAGGTGTAATATTAGTATGATTACTTAGGAGAATGTTTTTAGTTTTAGAAAGTTCATGATAAAGTAGCTAGGGGTGGAGTATCATTATCCATTTAAAAAAGTCTACGTCCACATTTATAGAAATATACATGAAGCTAGACTAACTATGGCAGATTGTTAACAATGGAAAAATGATGGATAATTGTGCCAATTGAGCATCCTAGTCCAAAAATCCAAAATCAGAAGTATTCCAAGATGGGCACTAGTGGCTTATATCTAGTATTAGGCTTATACCTTGTAGCAATCCTTGCTACTTAGGAGGCAAAGATCAGGAGGATCATGGTTCAAAGCCAGCCATGGGCAAATAGTTCTGGACACCGATCTCGAAAAAAAAAAAATCACAGAAAAGGGCTGATGAAGTAGCTCAAACAATAAGAATGCCTGCCTAGCAAGCATGAGGCCGTGAGTTCAAACTCCAATAACACACACAAAAAAGAAGTACTTCAAAATCCATGTGTGCTGATAAATAGAAAATTCCACACCTGCCCTCATGTGACAGAAATCTGTTCTCTAAACTGCCATGGCTGCAGTCAAAATGCAAGTTCACTAAAATATGGTCTAAAATTACCTTCAGAGGCTGGCATCATGGCTCAAGTGGTAGAGCACCTGCCTAGCAAGCAAAAAAGTCCTGAGTTTAAACCCCAGTGCTGCCAAAAATAAATATATACAATTACCTTCAGGTTATGTGAATGAGGTGTATATGAAACATAAGTGAATTTTGTGTTTAAGCTTGAGTCCCATCACTAAGATCTTCATTATGTAAATGCAGACATACCAAATTCCAAACAAATCTAAATCCTGAAACATTTCTGGTCCCTGGCATTTCAGATAAGAGACACTTAATCAGTATTATTCATTCCTTTCTTTTATGTGTTTGAAATTTTTCATTAGAAAGAGGGAAAATACTCCTCTTCTTTTTTTGGGGTCCAGAGAATTTGTGTTGTGACCCGTGTGTCATTTTGTGGAAGCTGGGCATGTCAGAGGTACAGGTTGATGTGAAGTCAGTGAGTAGATATGGCAGAAAAGGTGAGAGACACAGGTTGATGGGTCGGGGTAGCAGAAGCCATCATTTGAGCTCTGTACAAAGCTGGCTCTTGTGTTCCCTCCATCCTTTGGCAGATGTGACATTCATGTTGGATGACGGAGCTGTCAGTGCCCACAAGCCACTGCTGATCTGTAGTTCTGAGTGGATGGCCGCCATGTTCGGGGGGTCCTTTGTGGAGAGTGCCAACAGTGAGGTATGTGCCTTCCTAAAAGCCTAGTGGCATCTTTACAGATGTGCATGTGTATTTATGGATAGTGCTTCGTTAGCCAGATGACTTCCCTTCTTTAGCTGCATCCCTGAAATAGTGTTAGTTCTCCCCTTTTCTAATTCTGCAGTTTGAGGAACTATGGATTCTTGGTCACTGGTGTGTGAGCGCCTACGTACTGTACATGCAGTATGTCCTTTCATCATCACACACTTCCCATACCATGGAGCCATGATCACTTATACCTGCTAACCAGTGTCATCAGGCAAAGTACTATCAAGATCAAGTATGAGGTGGGCATAGTAGCCCACAACTGTAATCCCAGCTATTAAGCAGTGAATACTGGGAGGCTTAAGGTTTGAAGACACCTTACCAGTGAATAAGGAAGACCCCCATCTAAACAAGTCAGTGGGGTTTGTGTGGTACGTGCTGTAATCCCATCTACCCTGGGGGCATAGGTAGGAGAATTGTAGTCAGAGACAAGCCCCAGCAAAAGCAAAACCCTGTCTAAAAATAACTCAAAGCAGAAAGGGATAGGGGCATGGCTTAAGAGCTAGAGAGCTTGTCTAGCAAACCCAAAACCCTAGGTTCAAACCCCAACAGCACCAAAAAAATAATAATAATAAAATAAAGTACAAGCTGGTTGTAGTGGTGACATCTGTAATCCCAGCTACTTTGGATGCAGAGGTAGAAGGATCCCCATCTGAGGCCAGCTCAGGCAAAAGCTCAACACCTTACTTGAAAAACAAACTGAAAAAAGCAAAAGGTATGGAGACCTGGCTCAATGGTAGAGCTCTTGCAGGTACAAGGTTCTGAGTTCCTCAGGACCACTGGGGGAAAAAAAATCCAATACCAGAGGGACAGAATGTGTTCCAGAAATTCAAGAAAGTGAAACAAGTTCTTCAATCACTGAAGTCCTGAGTCCAGCTCTGCCTTTAGCCTTAGGCAATTCCATCCGTGTGCTCAGCTCCCTCCCACCTCAATCTGCATGAGGAAGGATGCACTGGATGGTTCCTGAGGTCCTGCTGTAGCTGCAGCCCTGGAAGCTATACCTTTGTTGCAGGAATGTGGGGTTTGTTCCTGGGGAGTAGCAGGGTGGGGAGCAAGTGGTCACTACTCTGAACCACTTCTCAAAGTATATAGGTCTAGTGGAAGCAGAGGTCGCAGAACTCCAAGAGCAGGATATTCTTAGAACAGATCAAGCAGTATCTCGGAGACACTCCAAACTCTGCTGGAAAACAATTCCAGTCAAACACTTCTAACTTTAGTCCAGGAGCGAGCAAGCACTTTTGTTGAGTTTTGCAACTTTTTTTTCTAATGTCTTTAAAAAAAAACAAAAATCATGGGGGCACACCATTAAGTTTATTGTCCTAAGAGCCTCATTTTGCTTATCTCAGCGTTTCTCTAAATTTTCAAAAGAAATACAGAAAACAATAGCTAACTTTTCTAAAGGGTTGCTCAAGGGAAATCTGAGCTCTCCTGTTGTGACCTGGGAGTCTGCCTTTGCATCCCCAAGTAGAGAAACAGAATCCTAAAATCACAAACCTGGGATGGCTGGGAGGGGGAAGGTCACTAGGCCACCCTCCTGCTTCCAGAACAAACTACAGCTGCTCCTAAACCAGCCCCTAGCAAAGGCTGTTTGCTGTTTGCTCTTTGGGAAAAAGACATTAAAATTATCCCATTTACCTCGTCTGGTGCCTGAGAACCTATATTAATCAGGAGGTCCTCACTTGTAACTAAGCAAAGCCTTTCCTGTGTAGCCAAAGATGTTTGGGACTTTATTACTGAGAATCTACAATGTACAAAGGCTGCAGAGTTAATGGCTCAAATCACAGCCTCTGCACTTACAAGCTGGGCGACCTTGGACTAGTGACTTAAACCTTTCTGAGCTGCAGACTGTGGAAGACACCTTGAGTGTCTGCAGTAAGGTTGTGGAGTCAGTACTTGAAAAGTACTTCATTAAGTAAATGGTGGCTGCCACCAGTCTTAGTTTGATGTTGATGCTGATGGTATTCCTTCTCTCTTACTTCCAAAGACAATCCAGGGTAACCATCAATTAGTAAAACCTCATCCAGTTGGCACTTTGTTGACTTTGGTGATGATAGAGCTGGGCGGCTGGCTTCTTGTTCCAGCTCACTGAAATGCCTGCTCATCATGCTGCAGAGAGCCTGCGATAAACTGAGCAAAGTTGATCAAGGTCAGGAACCAGGCACAAAGGGACACTGTCAGCACTGACCTCACCAATGCTAATCCCCTTTATCCCCTCACAGAATGCACCTTAATCTTCTCCAGATTAAGCTGTGCATTTGAGGTGACCAAAACACAAACTTGGCAGCAAAAGCACATGGATGTGATTGTTTACCCTCCTAGACAGGCCACCTGTTTCACATGCCATGCTGGAAGGACTGGGTCTCTCTCTCTCACCTGTTAGAACTGCAGCTGAGGCTAATACAGACATATAGATTCAAACCACACAAAAGATGAAAGCCACCAAACCAAGTAACCAAAAGTCTGTGCAAAATTCCGTTAGCCAGTGTCGTAAGAATGCCATTCAGTGTTCACATTTCTACCTTTTGGTGTCCCTTCTCTTTCTTTCCAGGATGGAGAATAATATAGGAGTTATGAACTATAGTCTCAGCTTGACAGTGGGCAAGTGGCCAATGCTCTCTAAACATGTTTCCTCATCTGTAATATAGGGGAAACAAGAGAACCTTTTGGTTGTTGTTGTTCTGGTACTGGGCTTTGAATGCTAGGCAGGTGCTCTGCCACATCAGCCAGGACCACAGCCCTAAGAGGCCCTAAGAGGCCTGATCTTCAAAGGGCAGGTGAAGCATGAGAGTAATGCATCAAACTTGGTCCCTAGAACCTACCAGTGCTCAACAAATATTAGTGACCACTATCCCAAAGTATTCTTGTTAAATTCTTTTCATGGGGTATTAAGGCCTTGGTCCTCTAAAGTCCCTAAGTTTAATATTTAATAGTCCACAGGTCCTTTTCCCAACTAAGGAAATGAAGGTGTAGTGGTAGTTACAGGTGGAGCAAAGAGACACTCAGTCAAAACACCAGTATGCACTCCATGATTGACTTAGCTCCACTTTTACACTTGAGACTTGGTCTTTCTACACCATCTTTTTTTAAAAAAAATTCTTTATTGTCTTAGGAAAAATCCAACTTCCCCCACAAAATCCATCCTTGTTGGTTGGGGGGTGGGGCAGACAGGCAGGGTAAAAGAACATAATTAATAGAATTTACATGCATCTCCAGAACAGAGGAAAGTAAGCCCATTGATGCTGCTTTGACTTGTCATTTAATATTCAAGAAGACACTTATTTTACTTATATTTTTTTCTCATTACTTTTAATATAGCAGTAAGCATAATTCTCTCCCCTGAGGTACTCAGCAAGTGGTTCATTAAAAATTCATGCCCCGGTTTTAGTAAGCAATTCTCTGTTTCTAGAACACTTTCTCATTCTCTGTGAGCCCGCCTCTAATCAGAAGCCTAATGGTCTAAACTAATCTTCACAATTAAAATTTTAAACCACTAAACTGGAATGTGGGACGTTGTTTAGGACACATTATATTCTCTTTCAGTACTCATTTTTTTAAGCTACATCCAGGAGGTGGTATACAAAACTTTGCACTCCATTTCTTCTGTAGCTTTATGTACGTTATCTTTTAAAGTGCTATAGATAGCTTTCTCCACTGTGGAATCACAAAGTGGGACTTCCTTTTTTAAAAAAAATCAGCAATGAAGAAAAATGCATGTTCTGAAAGTGTTGTTAGTTTATTTTCATTTGATGGTTACTTTCTAAGGGTCTCTAACATGATTTGCCAGAAAAAAGTATCTCTTCAAAAACTGTTATCACAGAAGGCAAGAAGGAAACAGCAGGTTATGGGTGGTTACAAACATCAGAACACCCTGAGGGCATTGGAAGTATTGGGACAGGGCTGCTTCCTGGAATCTGTCATCTCCTGATGCCAGAAATAACTTCTTTTTACTCAGGATGTCCATTTTCACGTTTGTATTTGTTATTCGCATTTTTTCTTTGAGGAATGACTTAGGAAACACTCTTACCAAACAATGCTAAGGTAATCTGAATGCTTTCAAAACCTAGAGAGTGAAGAAGGAACTTTAAATAACACCCATTCCAAATTCCTCCACTGTAACAGATGAAGAAATTGAAGGTCAGAGAGGGTGAGTGACTTACTAAAGGTCATACAGCATTTATGTGGCATATCCTCAGGCCTGCTCCAAACTCAACCTGTCCCTCAAGACATGCTTTTCAGAAACAACATACATTTCTATCTCTGAGAGTAAAGCTCTGTGGCTTATATTAACAATTACTATCATTGAAGACTACTTAGCACTTTGTTAATGTGGATACTTGTACTACAAAATGCATCAAATCTTCAAGTTTCACAACTTAACCTTCAATTACCTAGAAAATTAAACTAATCCACACATCATTTTAGATAAATTAAATTTTGCCATGTGTTCAGAACACAGAAACAAGTCCATGTGGGCATCCATGAATAAGTTCGCTATCTGTGCAATGCAAATGCATGTGTCTATAAACTCATGTATGTGAGTATACACAAGTAGAGCCAATGTTAGACTCACTTGGATAGCAATTATATTTGTATGTAGATAACGTCTGGTTGAAAGGAGTAACAACTAACGTTCCAACATCTGTGTTTTGCAGATAGTCAGCATGTACAACAGCTTCTTCATTTTCAAATAATAATATCAGTTTTTACTTATCAAATTCTACCTAGTATAGTTGTGCTAGATACTTGAAATGATCACTTGTGTCAAATCATTGGTGATAATGACCCACACAACTTATTTGTGGTATCATAATTGTTTTCACTCACTGTCCTTGATAATATTTTTAAGATTTTTCTGAGCCCTCCCAATGGTACATTAAAGAACAGATCTACCAAACTGAAAATGAATTCCCTCTCTTGAGGTGGCCTGTGATTGCACAGGGGAATAATATGAAAGATTGCAATAGCTTAATTCTGGAACCATAGGCTATGAGCCCCTTGGAGAATGTGGAGGATATATAAATGTACATATAAATCTTTAGCAGCTACTCATGCATGTGTGTGTGTGTGTGTGTGTGTGTGTGTGTGTGTGTGGAGAGAGGTATAATCATATATAACACATAGGTATTACTTATAGAGCGATATTATCATGTAACATATATATGTATACATGTGTATACATATATATATACATGCTTTATACAGGCTTGTTAAGTACTAGCATTAAGAAATGTGTAACTGTTCATCCTTTTGAACTAGAAATCCAGTTCTTGGTCTAGAAATGTAATTCAGCAATACAACACATGCTTAGCATGTGGAAGGCTTTAGTCATCCCCAGCACTGCAAAAATAAAAAGAAAGAAGAAACTAATTCTTAAAAACTATTAGTGAAGCACAATGCTTTATTGTGCTATAACCCAAACCATTGCAATTAAGGACTTCCAGTCCTTCTCAGCAATTTGAAACACAGACTTTAGAATTACACTCCCTGAGTTTGGATCCCAGTAACTCCTTACCTCCCTGAACCTCAGTTCCCTTGTTTGTAAAGTGGCAAAAATAATAGTCTTCCTCCTAGGGCGCATATAAGGACCAAATGAGATAATGCATGTGGAAAGTTAAATACAGTGGCTGGCACACAGGAAGACTTCTATTAAGGTAAACTTTTATAGTCATCAGCAGTCCCACAATAAAACCAGATGTGCTGTTCTGCAATATGCCAGGGTGTGAGTCATGGGTTTGGTTAAAGACCTCAAATAAAGAGGCTCTGCAACAGAGTGTACATTCCTATTGACCCAGGCTTGCCAATGTAGAACCGAACTTCCCAGGCGATCCCCAGGCCCCCTAGCAAACTCTAGCATGCCTTCATATGGAAAATAGCCCCGGGTACTCAGGAGCAAGACTAGGGGAATCCTACAGGGGAAAGTGCCCCATCCTCAACCAACTGGCCCCCCAGCTATCCCTCTCAGGCAATGATTTCTTTGGATACTCTAAATCTACCAAGACCTAATAATGTCCCAGGAATTCTGAATCCATATGGTTGTTGGTATACAGATGGCACTAGCACGGTGAAGAGAACTTGAAAATCAAGCCATCATATGGCAACGAGGGTGGTTGCTCATCCTCAGTGGACATTTTAAAAAGCTGGACTGATCCTGTGTTGGCAATGGCATGGTATGCAGCTCCCCCCCCTACACCTGTCATGTGGCTAAAAGATTTCTTTCTCCATAATAGAGTATCATCAGGTACTTGGCAAGGAGGGCCCATAATGTCATCATACATTTACAACCCATTTGTCTGATTTATATGTCCAAATAGGTGTTTAAAACTTCCAAATCAGGCTTTGTCAGGCAGCTTCACTCTTTTATCTACAAATCAAACTGTTATGTTTAAAGCTGTAAATACTGAACAACTTCTACGCAGTCTCAAAGCAGGTGTCCAAGACTTGCAGTACTGAGTCACAGAGTTGGGATATTTACAAGCAGCATAGCCTCAAAATCTGTCTTCTCTCTACCTCAAAATGTATCTTCTCTCTACCTTCTCCAGCATAATTTAGTTTTCATATAATTTTTCAGGTATGTCTCCCAAGCATAAACAAAATGTCGATGCAAGCAGTGCTGGATTATCTCTATACCAAACAGTTGTCACCTAACTTGGACCTGGACCCACTGGAATTAATTGCCTTGGCAAACAGATTTTGCCTGCCACACTTGGTAGCACTTGCAGGTAAGGCTTGACCATGCAATGTCTGACTGTCATATGTGTCAAAATCACATTTAAACATAAATAAGATTTGCAGGGAATACAAATTTATTTTTCGTGTCCCCCAAACAGAACTGTCTTATGTAGGATGATAATGAACTGATCAACTGTATCAGACACTCCAGTTCTATTCAACAAATATTTCTTAGGCACTTATTTTGTGGCAGGCCCTGTTAGGTGATTCAAATAAAAAGGTGACTAATGCAAGACCCCTGCCTCAGTGGCTGTATGCATGCCTAATCATTTGTGGACTGAGGAGTTCAAAATAAAACTATTGGGTCAACATTATCCCCATAATGTGTGCACAAACACAGAATTTAAGAAAGAGGTAGTAGATGCAGAGCCTGAGAACATAGACTTCAGAATTGAGTTGCATGGGTCCAGTCCTGACCCTTTCATTTGTGGCTGAGTGACTTTGTCCTTCATGTAGCCTAGCTCTGTATCTCAGCTAACTCTCTGTCTCTTTAAAATGGGGATAATATTAGCTATCGTGGAGTTGTTATGAAGATTAAATGAGTCAAAATATAAAAAGTCCTCAGAACAGTGTCTGGCACATAGTATGCATTATATAAGTGGTTTTTTTTTTAATGCTATTTTAGAAAATGTTCTGACATTGTCAGGTTCATTTTGGGAAAAAAAGAAAGATTTGGCTTAACTTCAAAAATCTTATCTATAATTCCTAGATTTGTTTAGTTGGTAAACTAAAGCAAATCTATATAGAAATATGCATTGAAATGCCTTTTTTAAAAAAATATATTTTTTTAAAAGGGAACATTAGCAATCTCGGTGATTACCACTGTATTTAGTTGATCCAGTAACTATGAAAGCAGAGACAGACAGCTCCTGTCTTGTTCACTGGCCTTTCCCCTGCATATAGAAAAGTGCCTGAGCATATTAGGCTCTCAATAAATATTTATTGAATAATTAAGTGAATAGAAATGAGCACAGAACAGGCCAACCCATCCATTCACACTTTACTTCCCAGCAGTGATGTTAAATAAAAGATTACTTTGTCTGTCCTCTAGGTCTGTACTACATACAAACTAACTAGAGATCAAAGTCCTTCTCCCTATTCTCTTCACCCTACTTCTTCTGCAATTAATCAGAAAGAGTTGAAGCTTTGCTATTAGATTTTTTAAAACTGTTTTTAACCAATATACTTAAAGTCCTAGATCCAAATGACTGCAGTACTTCTTAAACACTAACTCGAGGAGGCTGCAGTGGGCAGTCTCTTTAAAATAAACAAAAAAAAAAGGGATGAGTTCCAATCTGTATAACTATTCATAGGTTTTACAAATATTTGTCTTTTGAGGATAATTTGATATTTTGAAATGGCCAAAAGTAATTTGGAGCCAAATCTGTAAAACAGGTTTTATAATCAGTCTTGGCGTGATGCCATTTTTCCTTAAATATTAAGTCTGGCAGTGATAACATGGGATTGATTTCTCCATAAAAGAATTTTTTAACTGACCCAAAGAAAGCTTCTCAAGAACTTCAGACTCCTTTAGTATTGTTATTAAATGTTGTTATTACTGCTGTGGGTATTTAGTATACCACTTCCCAGGATGAGTTCTTTAAGCACGTACAGTATTTCTTATGCACTGTCTAGTGTAGAGTGCTTAGAGCATCTTTACACAGTGTTTAAAACTCAGTTTCTGGGGTGAAAATGTTTTGCAAGCCACTATTAAATAAAAATCAGAAATGTTGCAGTTCCTTAAAGAGCCCAAATAACTTCTCTGGGAAACTGAGTTTCAAATAGTTCTGTGTGTCAATCCACCTGAAGAGGGTTATATCAAAGAAACTACTCAATTCCAGTGACCACACTGAGTAGGTATAAGCTTATGGACTCACAAGTACGTAGAGCCCAGAGCTAGATGTAAGCATGATTTGAACAGTGCAGACATACCCCAGAGATATTGCAGGTTCAGTTTCAACACAATAAAGCAAATGCCGTAATAAAGTGAGTCACAGGAGATTTTGTTTTCCCAGTGAATATTAAAGCTATCTTTACACTATAGTGTAGCCTGTTAAATATGAAATAGCATTATGTCTAAAATACATATCTATTTTAATTTTTAAAAATCAAGATTGCTAAAACATGCTAATTGATCATCTAGCCCTTCAGCCAGTTGTAATCTTTTTGCTGGTAGAGGCTCTTGCCTTAATTTTGATGACTGCTGGCTGATCAAAATGGTGCTAAAACTTACAGTGGCAACTTCTTAAAAGTAGAATGACAATAAAATTTGCCACATCAATTGACCTTTCCTTTCACAGAAGCATGGGATACTGTTTGACAGCATGTTGCAGTAGACTTTCTTTAAAAATTGAAGTCAATCTTCTCAAGTTCGGCTGCCTTTTGAATGCTGTTTATGAATATTCTGAAGTTGTATTGTCATTTTGCAACAATGTACACAACATTTTAACCAAGAGTAGTTTCTGTCACAAGAAATCATTTTCTTTGCTTATCTGTAAGCAACTTGAAGATCTGTAAGAAGCAACTCCTTGTTTGTTAAGGTTTTATCATAAGGTGGCAGCAACTCCGTCACATCCTCAGGCTATAGTTCTTTCAGAAGTTCTCTCATTTCTCATGCTGATTCTCTTATATTTCTACCACATCTGCAGTTACTTCTTCTGTTGAAGACTTCAGCTTCTCAAAGTCGTCCATAAGGGTTGGAATCATCTTCTTCCAAATGCCTGTTAATGTTTATATTTTGGCTTTCCTTCTCCCATGATTCTCAAATGTTCTTAAAAGCTTCTAGAATGAATCCTTTCCAGAAAGTTTAAACTTATCTCACACAGATCTATGAGAGGAATGGCTATCTATCAGATATAGCCTCACAAAATTGATTTCTTAATTTCTTCAATAATGAGACTTGAAAGATGAAATCATCCCTTGATCCATGAACTACAGAATGGATGTTGTTTTGGGCAAGAGAATGACATTAATCTTGTTGCACATCACCATTGGAGCTCTTGGGTAACCAAGTGCTTTGCAAACAAGCAGACCTATTTTAAAAGGAATATTTTTTCTGAGCAGTAAGTCTCAACAGTGGGCTTAAAATACTCAGGATACCATGTTGCAAACAGCTATGCTGCCATCCACCCTGTGCTGTTCCATTTATAGAGCACAGGCAAGGCAAATTTAGTATAGTTCCTGCGGGCCTGATGGCTTTCAGAGTGGAAGATGAGCCTTGGCTTCAACTGAAAGTCACCAGCTGTATTATCCCTTAATAAGAGAGTCAGTCTGTCCATCTGTCCTTTGAAGTTTTGAAGCCAGGCATGGCTCCCCTCTAGCTATGAAAGTCCTTGGTGGCATCTTCTTTTACCATAGGGCTGCTTTATCCACATTGAAAATCTGTTGTTAAGACCATTTGTCAGTGGTCTTAGCTAAGGGTTCTGGATAGTTTGCTGGAACTTCTCCATCAGCACTTGCCATTTCACCTTGCCCTTTTATGCTGGTGATGGCTGCTTTCCTAGCACTTCATTAACCAACCTCTGCTGGGTTCTACCTGTTCTGCTGCAGCTTCCTCACCTCTCTCAGCCTTCAAACAATTGAAGAGAGTTGGAGCTTTACTGTGGAACAGACTTTGTCTTAAGGCAGTATTGTGGCTGGTTTCATCTTCTTTCTAGACTGCTAAAACTTTCTCCAGATCAGCAGTAAGCTATTTCACTTTCTTATCATTTGTGTGTTCACTGGAGTAGCACTTTTAATTTCTTTCAAGAACTTTTCTTTTGCGCTCATAAATTGACTCCTTGATACAGGCCCAGCTTTCAGTGTGTCTTGACTTTTGACATACCTCCCTCATTAATCTTAATCATTTCTAGCTTTTTTTTTTATTTAAAGTGAGTGATTATGACACTTGAATACTTATAAGCCATTGTAGGGTTATTAGTTATCTAATTTTAATATAGTTGTATTTCATGGAGTAGGTAAAAATGAGGAGAGAAAGAAAAACTGGGGAATATGCCCTTTAATGGAGCACACACACAGTCAGAACACACACCACATTTATCCATTAAGCTCACCATCTTTCATGGGTCCAATTTGTGGAGCCCCAAAACAATTACAATAGTAACATCAAATGTCACTAATCAAAGATCACTGTAACACATATAACAATGATGAAAACATTGAAACATAACGTGAATTACCAAAATGTGACACAGACACAAAGTCAATTCATGCTCAAAATATGGTACCAAAAGACTTGCTCAACACAGGCTTACCACAAACCTTCAATTTGTGTATATATTTTAAAAACAGCAGTATCTCTCCATAGTGTAACAAACTGAAGTGCACACTGGATTGTAAGAACAAGTACAATACTAGACATAACATCAACATCAAAGAGCTAGAAATGCAGAACCAAGAGTTTACACACACATCAGCCCCAGAGACAGCCCCAACAGAAGCAAAGAACAGTTGACTCAACCTCAGACCACATTTAAATTCAATTCACAAGATTTGGACAGGGACATCCAAGCAGAAATGGCTCTCTCAGCTGGATTTTTGTTACTTCTGACTAAAGTTCTTCCCCACCTTTATGATCTGAGAATTTGAACAATATATCATTCATCTACAATGATTGAGTCAGATAAATGTATTCACATTTTTAATTCCCCAAACAGACTTAGTGCTCATTGTTCAATCTCTTCACTGTCAGAGGTTATTGAAAATTAGAGCAATATAAATGGGGAAGCTGTCACAGGAAGATATCTAGAATCTGGAGGATTCTGGAAAGATGTCAGACTCTCTAGAGCCACACTGTCCAGTAGAACTGTCTTGTACTAATAGGAACATTTTATATCTTTATTGTCCAATGTAGTAGGTATGTTAGGCTTTTGGGCACTTAATGTAGCTAGTGTCACTGAGGAACTGAATTTTTATTTTAATTATTTTAAGTTTAAATAGTTTCATATGGCCAGTGCTTACCATTCTGGCCAGGGCAGTACAGGTCTGGAGGATTCAGACTGTTTCAGAAGCACAGATAAGGTTCCCAGAGGTGTTGATACAGTATTTGGAGATAAGAACTGTCTCTAATGAAAGGCCTCCCATTAGAATATATGCCACCTAGATTCACTTTAGGTGGCTGCCCAGAGCTGTGTTCCATATTCCTCTCTTTTTAAGTTGGTTCTAGATCAGCCTCTCCAGAAGAGGTGCTTGGCTTGTAGAGGGCAGTTTAATGTCCTCCTGTCCATTTTCTTCTCCAGAACAGCATGCCGTTCAGGAGCTGACCAAGGCCGCAGTGAGTGGCGTGAGCATTGATGGGGAAGTGCTCTCTTACTTGGAACTGGCCCAGGTTTGTAACAGTTTTCTTTTCACCTCTGAAGTGTGTTCAACCAGTTCATTTAATGCTGATAAAACATTCCATTATTGCATCTGTCTAAATAAAGATGCCACCACTGAGTGACAGAGGCCCCTGTGTACACTGAGATCTGAGAGTTTTACATTTCAGGCACCATTCAGCCTGCTGGGCTTCTTTGAAAAAAACAACAAGGACCCCACCCCCACACCAGTCCCCTTGTTCCCTAAGGCATTGGCTCCACATATGAGAAAACGACTGGAGTAAAATAGGGGAAGGTTTTGTCCCTCTTCCTTCTTTGAATTCTTGAACATGTGTTGGCCAAGAACAGTTCCTAGAATTCCATGAAGCTTTGAAATGCCCCTTTATTCATGAACAGCTCAGTGAAACTCTCCTAGTTGTCTAGTACCAGTATTTGTTAATATCAATATCCATAATCCCAAGACACACATGTACTTTTCTTGCAGGGAAGGTCCAAGATCCAACTTTTTACCAGATAACTTCCTCAAGGCCCAAAGCTAAACTCTATCTCAGATTCTTCATTCATAAGAAATGTAAATGGTAATTTGCAGCCTCCAAATCTCACAGATTATTTTTAGAATCAAGGGAAAAAGAATGTTCAAAGAATGGAAGACTTCTATAATGCAAGGCACACAGGCAGAATGATCTCTACCTGGCATAGACTGATAAACAAGGAGTTCACAGTGACAGAATGAAGAGTAAATTCAGCAGTCTTTTTTCTGCCTTTGAGTTTGGCTTTCTTGTTCTTTCTTAGGGCCATAGCTAACTAAGTCTTAGGTCAAGCAGTTTAAACCAATATTTCTCAATCAAGTGAGAGGAGGTGGTTTTAGGGAGAGGAAGGTGGCAGTATAGCAGATGTTGCCCAGGGCTTCCAACTGTGGCCATAGGAGATGGCTTAGGTTCAAAAGGGAAGAAGGTGGAATAGGACTTAGAGCAACTTATTCACTCTGACTCAACATTCAACAAGTATTTATTATTTCCCCCAGTACCAGGTACCACTCTAGGCTGAGGACACGTGCATACACACCCAAGATTCTCTGCCCTTGAGATAATCAGAAGCAAACAAGAGAAACAGATACAAACACAAAAGGTTAAAATCCAGTGTGAAAAAAGTTTAATAGAAGTTGCAATGAAAATTGAGGACAGACATCTATTGCACTAGAATTAGGGAACCCCCATCAAAACTAGTTGTCCACAGTTTGAAATTTGGAATTTTTTTATCTGCAGTATCCAAGACTAAATATCTATATAATTGCTGAAAGTTTGGTTTAATAAAGTTTACTCCAATTAAAAGAAAGAAATAAATTTGGGGGTTTTTGAAATACCCTCAGTTTAGCTTGGGCTCTGTCCACTAAGTATTCTTCAAAGAGAAAAATGGACTGACTCAGAATTCCTTATAGAACAAATTCATCTGAGGTAATGATTTGTAGTTGTGTCTGTTTGTTTGCTCTGTGTTTCCACCATGTCCCTTACCAACCCCCAACTCCCACACCCAGCCACACCCTGTAAGACAGGATCTTTACTGCTAAGCCCTCACAAGCCTTCGTAGAAAGAGCTAGGATGGAGTCTCCCATGTCTTAGCTCATTTCTTAGTCCTTAACCCAGTGATGTGCTGGTAAATGTTTAACAGTCTAACAGCTTAGAGGCTTCTGGGACCCTGGAATGTTGCATTTTCCAGTTTCTGTGGAAACCCTTGCTATGGTGGGTTTTAACTACATGAACTCAGAATAGAGAAGAAATGTACACACACCATCAGCTCTCTGGAGTTGGGACAAGGCGGCCCAGCACACCACTCTCCCAATCTTATTTTCAGAGAGAAACTGGAAATCAAGAGTTGAAAGCATCAGCCTCACACTGGCCCACGTGTTTAGGCTTGTGACTTTCTGAGTCCCTTGAGGGGATTTCTGAGGACTCAGGTCTTTCTAGTGGCCTTCGCAGTGGAGATGCGAGCCACAAGTGAACTACACTGGAGGTAATAAAGTCTCATCCAGTCAAAGAAAAAATCTGTCTGAGAAGGAAATGAGAGGTAGAGGTGTCCTGCCAGATCTTACAAGATAAGATCTGGTGTTGGTCACCAGTTTTTGAACATCAAATCTTTTTCATTCACAAACTACCTCAGCTGCCACCTCCCTGAGCATCTGCTCAGAAAGTATTTGGATCCCTCCCACCCTGTCCATACACCTGCTTTGCTTATGTAACCAAAGCACAGGCATAGGACAGCCACGCAGTCCGCAGTCTCCTATTTCTTTCCCGTCTTTGGCCCCGGCAAGCTGAGCTCTGACATGTGACACGGAGTGTTCCACTGCCCAGGCTTCCTTAAACAGAGATGACATTGCTGCTTTCTGCTGCTGGCTGGTGCCTTCCAGAGGGCATAGTCACTTATCACTGGAGGGCCAGATGACAGGGGAGGGTGGGAGAGCACAGCGTGCTTTAAACTCCTGATGAGATACAGTGATTATTTTGGGCCCATCTGTCAAGGGGGAGGGGAGCTGAGGGAGGGTGTGCCAAAGGCTACACTTGGCTGACATAGGAGCTATGGCCAAGATCAGAACACTGAGGTCAAAACAAGGGCTTTCCTGAAGTGGTCCTACAGGCCCTTCATTTCTCCTTACTCTTGCAATGGCTCCAATTTCTTCATATACTCATTTTAGACAATAGATACTGATACCCACCCCCCATTTTGGTCACTTTTCTGCAGTTTCACAATGCTAACCAGTTGGCTGCTTGGTGTTTGCATCATATCTGCACCAACTACAACAGTGTTTGTTCCAAGTTTCGCAAGGAAATCAAATCAAAATCTGCAGGTGAGACTGTGCGGGGTCCCTTTTGTCCAGTTCTCCTCCCCTCTGACCAATGCATCTGCCTCCTGTGACCCTGGGAGGGCGCATGCTCAGCAGCCAGCTCATGGAGAATCCCTTGTGACTGCTCCAGCAGCCTCACATTCCTGTGACGTAACCCAAGGAGTTGCACATTGGGCCTTCTCTTTGGAAAATGTCTTGCTTGGGAAGGTTGGGGGCTGGAGTTCAGAGGTTGTTGGCTCCCCTGGTCTAGAGAGGCATGACTAGGAGCAGACTTGGGCTCTGAAACCAAATGGTTCAAGGTCTTTCTGCCCAGGTGCATCACTTATAGGCAAGAGATTCTACCTCTCAAAACTTGAGTGTCGCTGTCTACAAGTGGTTCTACTCATCACCCCCTGCTACATGGGGTTGTTGAGAGAATATGTGAGAAGCATGGAGCATGAGGCCTAGCACACAGAACAGGAATTACCATCAGCATCTTTCCCTCACCAGAAAACCAGGAGTACTTTGAGCGGCATCGCTGGCCCCCAGTGTGGTACTTGAAGGAGGAAGACCACTACCAGCGTGTGAAAAGGGAGCGGGAAAAGGAAGATATTGCACTAAACAAACATCACTCAAGACGCAAGTGGTGCTTCTGGAATTCATCTCCAGCAGTCGCCTGAAAGAAGAAGAGAGAAGACCCGTCAGTAATTTGATATACCACTTTTAAAAGCACTACTGTAAAATTAGTCTTCTTATTAGAGATACGGTGTAGTTCAGGTTACAGGCACTGACCTTGCTCCACTTTTGTGCATTTATCTTCTTTAGGATCTAAGCACAAGCTCACCATCGACAGCCTGGACAAAAAGGGAAGCTGATTCTCACTGCATTCCTTAAACTGATACATATATTTTTTTGTTAGGAGGCTTAAAAAATTTTAGTCTGTTATTTTGTTTCTTTTTATACAAAGAAAAAAAAAATTCAGCTTTCATGTTTCAGATTCCAAATTGGAAACTATTTTTATATGGTCTCTTGTATTTTGTTGAAATAAAAATACTGTGTATTACTTTATTTTACAGGCCACAAATTGACCATGAAGTTGCCCTGTGAGTGTCTTGGCCCATGCCAAGCATAATTACATAATTAGAGGGTTATCCTTTTGTTGTGAAGTAAAGGGTTGGACTGAAATCCCCCAAAGTGCAAGCTGAAAGTGCTTCATCTTTGTTCTGCTGAATAACATTGGTATAATTACCAACCCGACTCCAAGAATGTGTATTTACAATGTTTGCTGTGTAAGTGTTAGTGATTATATGGTTTATATGTGCCATGTAAAATATAGTGGTATCAAATACTCTGTTGTTTGAAATATCTACATTCAAGAGGATAATCTTTATACTCATTAGAAGGGCTTATTAAATCCCAGCATTATCCAGGGCAAACTCACCGGGGGACCTGAATACGTACAATACATTAGAACACTGGTGTTTGGATTGCTGTAGTAGGTCTGTGTCCCTCTGTGTTCCTTGATCTTTCCATGCTTCTGCATGTAGACTCTCCACTGACTTGAATTTAAATGAGTAAGGGACAGGGTCTCTGGACTCGTCCCACCATCTACAGGTTGGTCTCCTCTTACCACCAGAAACGGGCTTCCTCAGGTCTCTCACCTGTGGCCAACTTCACTTTGTATGACACATATTTTTAACTCTTCCCAGGGAAAATTCATGTCACTGCAGAAGGAGGCTAAAGCAGATCCCCCACTCCTGTGAAATCCATCAGGGCCTGTGAAAGCACAAAGCTGGAGGCTGGGTCCCTGCCTCCTCCAACACAGAAAGGAATCTGATCTCAAGAGTCTAGGAAATGGTGCTATTGCGAATTAGTACTGACCCTTTGTCCTTCTGAGTTTTCAGTGTTAAAGCAGAAAGTGTAGAGCAGGGGAGCTGATGAGAGGCAGTCAAATCATTGCTTCTCTGTACATTAAAATGTTACAGCACACACACACACACACACACACGTACACACACACACACACACACATACACACACGTACACACACGTACACACACACATACACACACACACGTACACACACACACACACACACACACATACACACACAGAGCATTATAAAGGGCAGAGCTCCGTACCTGCCAATGGGATATTGTGTGGTGGGCACTGGGCTCATCCTGTTGGGAGGTCAACTTACTGATGCTAAGGGCTGTTGTTTTTATTTTTGTTTTCTAGCTTTTCAAAAAAAAATAGAAAAGGCACACAGTTTCAAATGCCATGTGCATTTGAAAATATCTATATTACAGGTGGTCATTTGTTCCTGGAAGTGGAAGCACACCAGATATAAGAGCTTAGAGAAGTCCAGAAATGCATCACCCTCTCATAGAAAAGAGGGGGCATAGAATAGGAACAGTGACGACTGCACCCACCTCAATTTTTTAATAGGGTTGTAAATCATTAATAGGACAAGACAGAATGAGAGGGTAAATGTCAAGACTCAGTGAGAATTGGCATGTATCCCATCTTAAAATGATAGAGGTTGAGTTTTCAATGAGTAGTCATAGTTGAATTTATACAACCAAAGCTCCCATTTGATTGTAATCTTGCCAAAACGTTGTGGACATGACAACGCACGGGGTATAAGCAATAATATCCACTTGTGTTGTTAGCAGCTACTGTAACCAAGTGGCACTCATTTGGTCGATGCTGATTATGGCCTTTAACCATGGTGGTTTGTTTCATGTTTTTTATTTCACAAAAAGCCAATAAAATTGTTTAACTATAAAAAAAGCCTCCAGTTTTGTTTCACAGACGCAAATCATATCATGTGAATAATTTAATAGCTTTTTAAAAACTATCAACACTTAAGCTGACTGCCAGTGGCTCATACCTGTAATCCTAGCTACTTGGAGGCAGAGATCAGGAGGACTACAGTTTTAGGCCAACCCTAGGAAATAGTTGGAGAGGCTCTAGCTCAAAAATATCCAACACAGTGAAAGGCTGGAAGAGTAGCTGAAGGGGTAGACTGCCTGCCTAGCAAGCATGAGGTCCTGAATTCAAACCCCAGTACTGCCAAAAAACAAATAAACAAAAAAACACTATCAACACTTAAAGGTGCTGGATTATAGGGGCTTTAATGATTGTCATCTTTGTTTTCAGTGTTGTCAGCAGAGATTCCAATGCCATGATTTAAATGAAGTATCTGGCTTCTGGGTTGTACAATTATGTCACTTGACATGGTGCAGCCTTGGGGTAGGGTGGGGGGAATGACATCATTATCCTAGAGGAATGATTACAATCTGGGTTTGGACAGTTTTGCTTACAATTAAGTGAAAGGTCTGGATTTGGAGGGCTTATGAGGATTTATTTCCTTTAGAAGCAGGTCTGAGAGAGACTTTGGAAAAATCTAAACAATTTCTGGGCGTCAAGGTGATGTAATGTCTACCCAAACTTAAAGGGAAGAAAGGTGTTTCATGAGATCTCACAGAAGGGCTTTTCCGAGAGACAAATTCTCTGTAACTCCATGGTAAGGTGTTGACCACTACAAGAAATAACCATAGAAAGAAGACAATGAGCTTTCCAGTACATTCTCACACCTTTTAAATGTGACTCGTCTCAATAATGGCACCTCTTGCCAGTGGAATCTTACCTGTAGTAAGTCTGTTTTAAGTCTCTCCTAAGGGCCTGGTCAACCTTCAGGGATTTCAATATCCCTATATGGGCATTTGGGGAGCCACAAATCTCACTGGTCCTGATGGAACAAAAACATTTTCATTTTCCATATTCAAATGCAAAAGTCCAATGTTTCAAAGACTTTTTTTCACATTTGCTTCTCTTATATGGTATATCAGTTATCAAAACTCAATTTTTTATCACTGTGACATTAGCTAAATAGAATGAGTTGTACCAGTCATAGGGGAAAACAGTGAATCCTGAACTTGGAAACTTTTGTGAATGTAGCATTTCTGAAATGAAGGCTTATCTGCAACATGACTTACCAGCCTTTTTCTAGAATTGTATATTCAAGACATATATACATCTCCTAATTGGAGACTGATAGACCAGCAGCAATGACCGCTCTTTTCTGGAAGAATGTGACCATTGCATTAAAGTGTGAAGGGAAAAGTTAGAATGAGTTTGTGTTGTACATGTATTTGTAATTGTGAGTAATCAAGAAGCAGCATAACAGAAGAAAAGCTAAAGGCAACTTTAAAAAGAAAGAGTGAATAAGGGAGAAGAGCCCTTAGTCACGGTTTGGCCAAAGCCATGGAAGTTGAATTAAGCACACTGAGCCACAGATGCATTCTCTTCCCAAGTGCGAATTGATGTATGTAGGGACTTAATTGATTTCCTGATGAAAATTGTCTTGAATTTGCAATTAAAAGGCAAGTAACATATGCTACATGAAAGATTTAGACTTAGAAGTAGAGGCATTTGCAGGATGAAGCAATGCTATTTTGCTGGACTATAAGTGGAATATTCTACCCTTTGCTGGCAGAGCCTCTACACTGGGTATTGTTACTTAGGACATTTAGATAAATGGTGTTTCTACTGGGTTAAGGTACAGGCATTCATCTGTTAGATACTTACAGATTCTTATCTAAAATATATGGATATGATTTATAAATAATTATTGGGTGGGAGCCAATCTCTCACGTGGTTGCACATCCACAGGCATGAACGTGCTATAAACAGTAGACACAAAGTAACTGACTAGAAACTCACTCCTATTGCTCACTCTTTCCACAGAACAGAACATCTTCGTGTCACAGATTTCCATGAGAGTCTAGATGAAATGAGAGCCACCTATATGTGGCCCATGGAAAGAGTAATAAGGCTGAATATGTTCTTAATCCCAAGACAAGAAAGGTAATAACATATCAAAGGATACAAACCAAAGTTTGGACATATTTTATGTCCTCTCAATATGCTTTTGATGATTCATGGTGGTCCTAATCAGAGTAGTACACTCATGAAATGTTAGGGTTATCTGTTCTGTGAAAAGGCACACACCTCTCTATGCTTTGCTTATCTAAGGTTTCATTCAATCTCTGGTGCAAATTAAGTAGTATGATTTAGGTAAAGTTTTTAGCACAATATTTTGCCCATAGTAAATACCCAGTAACAGAAGCTAAACAAAAATGAAGGTGAACCTATATACTTAGCATGTTTTAAAATGAGGCAAGAAACCGAAGAGAAGTCAGCTGTGCGTGTTACAGAATCAAACAAGATGGCCTCTGTTGCCGGTCTCTTCAACCAAGTTCCAATACTGTTGATTAGTGCTTTATGAAAGTGATTAAAGAATCAGAAAATAAAAGCAACTGAGGCCAACAGGAGAAGGGGACCAGGAACTAGAGAAAAGGTTAGATCAAGAAGAATTAACCTAGAAGATAACACACATGCACAGGAAATCAATGTGAGTCAATGCCCTGTATAGCTATCCTTATCTCAACCAGCAAAAACCCTTGTTCCTTCCTATTATTGCTTATACTCTCTCTTCAACAAAATTAGAGATAAGGGCAAAATAGTTTCTGCCGGGTATCGAGGGGGTGGCGGGGAGAGGAAGGGGTTGGGGTGGGTGGTAAGGGAGGGGGTGGGAGCAGGGGGGAGAAATGACCCAAGCATTGTATGCACATATGAATAATAAAAAATTTTTTTTTAATCAACAATATTCCAAAAAAAAAAAAAAAAGTTGTGCAAAGGGCAGGGCATGTGATTCACAGCTATAATTCCAGCACCTGGGAGGCTGAAGCAGGAAGACTGAGAATTCAAAAGCAAGCCTTGGCTACATAGCAAAGCCTTGTCTTAAAAAAAAAAAAAAAGATTAAAGGAGGAGCCAGTGGTGGGACCATGGATGACACTTTCTAAGGGAAGTTGTCCCTTCAGTGTGCCTCTATTGCGCTGGTAAATAAAGTTGGATCATCAAAAGAACAAGCTGAGTCTCTTATTCATTGAAACACTTTTTTTTTTTTACTTACTTTTCTTGAAGATTGGATACAAAAAGTACAGTTAACTATTGTCTTAGTTTGGTTTTAGTTGCTGTAACTGGATACCATAGACTGGGAGACTTACAAAGAATGTGAGTTTATCTGGTTCTTGACTCTGGAGCCTGGGAAGTCTAAGAGCATGGTACCACACCTGTGTGGCATCTGGTGAGGGCCTCCTGTTGCATCATAGTGTGGTGGAGGACATCACATGGCAAGACACAGCAAGCATGTAACAGCTCAGGTCTTTCATCCTCTTCTTATAGAGCCACCATTGTTATCATGGAGGCCCTACTCAACCTTACCTAATTTTCTTCCAAAGGCCCCATTTCAAAAACCATGTGAATTGGAGATTAAGTTTCCAACACATGAAATTTGGGGGGACACATTCAAACTATAGCAGTCATGCTCCTCATGAGTTAGTACATTGTCTTCCTGGGTCAATGCAAGGCTCTTTTGTTTTCTTCTTCTTTAATATCCATTCCTGTATCATGTTCAATATATGTCTTTAAGCATGTGAACACCCTTCTATGCAGTTTTGTTTCATGTGCATAACCATTACACAAAGGGCATTACCTAGCAAGTTTCTTCTGTTATCTGCTTTTCTGACTCCACACTGGTTTTCCCATCCTTGGCCTTCTCCGGCTGCTTAGTGTCCCATAGACTGAATCCAGCACACTTCCGCCTGTTGTACCTGTGATAGCGCTCCTAATCAACTCCCAGCCTAGGACATATAGTGAGCCTCCTTGTGCATGCCCTGGGGACAAGGCCTAAAAATAGATGCCAGGTCATGCTCCAGACACCATGAATCAAAACCTCCCAAGGTAATGGACCTCTGTGGCAACATTCAACTCAGTAATGAAAATCTTTCCCTACCCCCAGTATTAGGACAATACTATTCAGCAGACTTCAAAGTCAGAAGAAATCGGACAGGTTCTGACACAGCCCAGAGACTAGTTGTCCTCTGACCAGCAAGAGGAGAAACTAAGTTTAGTTTCCAGACACCTCAAAGTCTCCAAGAAGCTTTCCAAATGGTGAAAGTGGTGAGCTACGGGATTGAGTTATTCTGTCCCATCTGGCCTTGGGTTTTTGTGTCGTCTGACTGTCATGAAAGACAAGAGCCAAAGAGCCCCTTGAATACTAAGACTTCTGGTTTTCTGTCTTAAAAAAATTCCATAGCTTGATTTAAAGACTTCATAATGCACACAGTTATTAAAACATCAATATTTACACTGTAAATATGTATAATTTTATTTGTCAATTATACCTTGACGCTCAGGGGGGAATTCTCTGGTGAGCTTATGCACATGTACTGAAAGTTGCCTCCCAATTTTTGTTACTTCACATATGAAATCTAAAGATAAAGCAACTTGCAGTATCAATTCTACACACTGTTCAAACAATCTAAGAAGTCCTAGATAAATTTCTTCTTGAACATAAAGCTTTCCTTTCTCCTAGTTTCCTTCCCCAGGCGGGAAACCACAGCACACCACACCTGTACGGAGAGGCTTCAGACCACTGACTTTTCTCTCAACCTTGCCCCCACTAGCATACCTGAACCCTATTGCCACCATAACCAAGCTATCCCCTCACTTTATCTACCCGAGTGATTTCTTAAAAAAAAAAAAAGTCATTGTAAATGGCCAAACAGCTGAATGTTTAATTCTTAGACAAATGAGCCCTCCAATCTTAAACAAGAAAAAAATCAATGTGGACTATGTCTCCAGCAAATTCTCTACTGCTTGTTACTCTTGCTTGTAATTTGTTTGCATTTGCATAGATAACCAAGATGGTTAAACCTCAGGTACATTGTGATACACCATCCCATTCAAATGTTTCTTCTTCACTGCACCCAACTGGGCGAACCAGTGCTCCAAGTCTTGATGCTACTCTATACTAGAGTCCAGAAAACTCATAGGAAAATTATGATAACAAAATGTATCATTTCCTAGTATATTTTATGACAAGCACTATGCTAAGTGCTTGGTGAGCACTTGTCTCATTTAGTTCTCACAGCATTAATTTAAAGGGAGAGCAATGGGTTCTTCAGAAGCAGACCCTGAGATGATGATTCATAAACAAGTGATTAGTAAATGCCCTTGGAGGCAAACACAACAAGGGGATTGGACTATGAGCACATGATAAAAGCGAGAGCACACAAGGGAGGGGTGAGGATAGGTAAGACACCTAAAAAACTAGCTAGCATTTGTTGCCCTTAATGCAGAGAAACTAAAGCAGATACCTTAAAGCAACTGAGGCCAATAGGAAAAGGAGACCAGGAACTAGAGAAAAGGTTAGATGAAAAAGAATTAACCTAGAAGGTAACACCCATGCACAGGAAATCAATGTGAGTCAATGCCCTGTATAGCTATCCTTATCTCAACCAGCAAAACCCCTTGTTCCTTCCTATTATTGCTTATACTCTCTCTACAACAAAATTAGAGATAAGGGCAAAATAGTTTCTGCTGGGTATTGAGGGGGGGAGCGGGAGGGGGTGGAGTGGGTGGTAAGGGAGGGGGTGGGGGCAGGGGGGAGAAATAAACCAAGCCTTGTATGCACATATGAATAATAAAAGAAAAATGAAAAAATAAAATAAAATAAAATAACCAGGGGGAAAAAAAAAAAAAAGTAAATGCCCTTGGATAAGATCAGTAAAGAGGGGTAGGGAGAGATAGGGAAGGATAAAGCCAAGTGGGGTTTCAGGAAGTCCTACTCAACCTGGTTTCAAGGGGTACAGACTATGCCACCACTGAGGTGTCTTTCAGGT